GTTCTTTAGGACAGGCATCCCAGTTAGGTAACCCAATCCATTCGCGGTATCCCACATATTTCATTATGGCTTAGTAGAAGAGTATTCTCAATCAATATACTGGTTCCGTGATTTTCTATCAGTTTATAAAGTTCTTCATCATCCTACTGCTGATCCCTGGTATTTTCAGGTGACCTGTTCAGGTCCGCAGGTGCTTACCCTTCCTGACGTGATTCCTCCGGGTTTCGAAGTGCTCGTTATTCGAAACGCCTCGATTCGTTCGATTCCAAAGCACGCTTTCCGTCGAATGGATCGGTTACGAGAGATTCACGTGGAGCATTGCAATCAGTTGACGTTTCTCGAGAAGTTCGCTTTTAAAGGAATGAAGAAGTTAAGGTGCTCATTTGCTTCACTTCCTTTTTTATTAATAATTTGATCACTGGTTTTTTTTCCACTTGATGTCTGTTGAAAATTAAGAGCTATACAGGAAGGCCGCTAGGTGGGGAAATGAGGATCCACCAATTAGTTGCACCCATCCCTCTTGCCAAAACTTACAATATCGAATACTTGAGACATACAATTCCTTTTTTTCGAATATTGTGTGATAATTGAGGCTTTCAAAGCTTCCCATTCTCGTAACGGAGTATTTCTTCTCGTTTTTGGCGAATTCCTGACACTTAAAATGGCGATTTTGTTAAAATTAACTGATCTTTGTTAGGACTTTGAATAAGTCAGTGGGCCTGCTTTGGGACGCTTTCGAGAGTCCCTGAGAGGCACAATAGTGTTATCGAACTGAAAATTAGAAATTTACCCATTCTGGACATATGTTTTTGCTTGGCACGAATACGCCGTGTCTCAGTACAAGTCCATTAAAGCCGTAGAAGTGAATAAATGCTTATGGGCAATTCACAATAGAAGCGGGTTTTATGATGTCGGGCCAATTATAACTACCAGTCTGATAGGCTCCATCTTGGAAACGATCTTCGATGAGATACCCAGAATGCGGTAAGAGGGGCTGATCATCCTCGATGGTTTCATAGGTTAAGTGATCACCAAGATCCCCTGGGTAGCTCATAAGCGCGTAACAACTCCCCGAGGAAATAGTTTTTAGCGATGCTGGTAAACGAGCGTTACAGGCCCTCTGAATACCGAAAGACTGTCCTCGTTTTCTCCGTCTCATACTTTTTCCCATAATCTTTCGGAACATGATGAGCATAAGTAAGACTTGTACCCTTTCTTAGTGTTGAGCTTGGAATTATCGTAGCGTTCTCGTGGTATTCGTTGAGAGCTGAGCTGATGGGCAGTTTGGTTTTGCCCAAGGTTAAGCATTCACGCTTCATTAATTACAAGGTGACTGCCATCCATCAGAGCTCATTATCAACCACTGACTGCACTTAGGGTCAAGTCTCAATTACCAGTTAATTGTGTCACGCGATCCGTTACGATCATCCCAGCATGCATAAGGGGCCTAGAGATATCTCTCCCTGCCTCCTAAGGAAATGATGGGGAAGGAGGCGAAAGAGTATCAGGGCCACTTCCTGTCGTGAATATGAGAACTCAGGCGACCAGCGGCCTCTGTTGCTCTATCGCCTTAGAGGCGTCGCAACAACTCACTCGATTAGCCGACCGGAAGTGAACTTGGCACCCCGCTTGTAACCCTTCCATCTCGACGAAAGCAGTGTCACATGTCGAAAAATGTCTCCTAGACGAAAATCCTTCGGGGGATAGCCTTTCCTGGAGTGGCCAAAGTAAAGAATAATCGGAATCGTTGTAATTGTTTCCATTGCTTCTGCCGATACTGAGCCATGAACACCGCTGATACCTGGGCTCTATACTAAATTTGATAGGAATGTTTTCAGAAAGCCCGCACTACAGGACTTACATTTAGTTCGGCTTCTTATCAGTAGTTGACACTAGCTTCAGATAGGTACTTATTCAGGGTATCTATTCCCTTCTATTCTACGTCTCCCTATCCATGAACCTATAAGATAGTCTCTCAAAACGGATGCTGGAATTAAACCTAACCAAACTTGCTTGAGAAAATATTCTAATTTAAACCTGATAACTATGTCAGGCTGATCAGCTTCACCAATTGTCCAAGGCTCAACGAAATACCAAAGGCCTCGTTTTCCGGAATTGGCAACGACTTTGGAGTGAAAATTCAATTTCATCGAACTCCTGTGCAACGAGTTCATAGCGGGGCATTCCGGTAAGTTACCAGTCAAACTTACTTGTCAACGCTACTGCTTTTTTCTCATTATTCTCTCCTAGTTAGTAATATGGTAGGAATTACGAATATTGTATATTCTATGTATACTACATCTTTGCCTATAATATTCGATGTCCTTTGACTGATCCATACCAGTTTGGCCAAGACTGGTGACATTTTAGCTATCGAATTGAAATTGAATTGAAATTGATTCAAAGCGGTTTTTCGTTTCAGGCATGCTCACAATATCAGGGAATTGTCGATCTCAGGTTCAGATTTGGCCCTATCGCGGCATGCGTTTGCATCAATCAACCAGGTTGGTTTCTTTACAATCTGAATCTGTCAGTCAATAATTGACACTTTATTCTTTCTTTATCTCATTGAACTGGGAAAAAATACATCTAGAATATCTTTTTTTCTGCTTACTCACATGTTTGAATTGACGGAATCCAATTTATCGACCTACAGTAGCGCTCAAAAGTCTTCGGTGAAGTGCTTTGGCGCTTTTTCGTTCATAACTTTTTTCTTAGTAGACCAAATCGCGCGAAATTTGGATA